CAACAAAACAATGCAAATCAAATAAAATGAAAGGCAACAGAAAAGAAAAAAGTCTTGTATCTGCTCCTATTTACCAAAACAAATTATATTAATTTCAAACAATAAACCAAATAAGACAAAAACAAAAATTAAACTCCTCAAACAGTAATACACACAAATACAAATTAAACAATTTCATATTTCTTTAACAATTTTACTTTGATCATTTTTTTAAGGAAGTAAAGGACCTCTTCACACCACATCCAGTAAAACAGATAATTCTGCTTGGGCACTTGCTTGTTTGCAGATTGCGGCAAAGAACGGTGCAGGCAGGAGCCCGCTCAGCCCACATGTCCAGATCACTACAGGGATTAAAGGTAACGTCTCTCTCACCTGGTCCCTTCAGTGTCCCTCTCTGTTTTGCGCAGCGGCAGAAAAAGTACAGGATGAAACCGCGGCTGCAGATTTCTCTGCATTTAGAGTCATGATGATATAAATATACCTCGGCTGCATGATTAGATGTGTGATCGTGTGCAGAAGCAGTTTTACTGATTCTATATGAAGCTGGTGAACACAGCAGAGTAAAACCTTGAAGTTCACCTGTGAACTGCGTCTGTATGTGTTGCAGCTCCGTCCAAGCCGACCCAAAAACCCCAAGCAGCGCTGGGCCATGGAGGGGTTGCCATGGTAACCCACAGGAGCATAACCATCCACATGCCTGCCTGTTTCTATAGTGACGATAACGGGCCAATCACAAAAATCCAGGTCATCGTGGCCGAGTCAGGGGGTATGGCAGCGATCACTTTTTATTTGAACATTCTTGTGGGTTTTTTTCTCTTTGTTTTTCAAGTCTTCAGTGGAGTCTTGTTGTGTGTCGCCGTCCAGAGCTCGCCAAGCTCACAGTATCAAAAGTATGACCCAGTTCGTCCCCCCCGTCCTCTCTTTTTCTCCAACTTTCCGTCTCGTCGCAGTGCGAGACAGCGAGAACCTGACCGATTGGAGGGAGGCGTTTTTCCATCGTCCCGCTCCGTACTTCACCGACTCGGGGTTCCCCAACCCTCCGTGTTTGTCCAGGGACGAGGCGTCGCGTATCAACGCCTACATCGTGAGCGCTCGCGTTGCGTCCGGAGGCGTGCCGCCGCCGCCGCCGAGGCTGAACCAGTCCGCTCCGGGGACGTATGTGATCGGAGAGAACGATGGCTGCATGGAGGGAAACTACACTGATCCTTTCTGCAACGGGCCTCTGAAGCCCAACACTGTCTATGTGTGAGTCCACCATCCAAAAACACCACAAAAAATAAAAATGATAGTGCTTTTTGTAAGACTTTACTGTTTCTGCTCTTCTGTTCTTTTCATTAACAGGTTTAAATTCAGAGCTACAAACATTCAAGGCCAGTACACAGACTCTGAATACTCAGATCACATCAGAACTGCAGGTAAACAGTAATTACTGGAAAGTGAATCAGTTTCCTGCGCATGATTCAGGCTTGTTCTTTGAACATGTTTCTTTAAAACTGGCGGAAAAAAAAGCTTTAAAGGAGACATATCCTGCTTTTAAATTGTTCTTTTTCACATTTAAAAGCACACAGTTGGGGTCTATATAAAGTGGAACTGCAATGCTTTGGTCTGAGTTATTGTAACTCCACAAGCCCCTCTCCCACCCCTTTTCTGAAATGTGTCTAAACTCATTTTGAGGCTGTCTCTAGATATAAAGATATCTACGTAGTACTAGGAGAGACTTAATTAAAGTTTTCTATGCCCCTTGAGACTCCAAGTACACAACAAAATGTATTTAACGGCTAAAAAATTGGATTTTGCATTAAATGTCCCCTTTAAAGTGCCTGTGACATGCAGATAAAAAAAGTCAAAGAAAACTTTGTTCTATTTAAGAAACTTGGCTTATCACACATTATTTTACCCATTTGGACACGTTACTGACCTATGTTATTTTGGACTTGGCTTGGCAAAAGGGAAACAGGAAGTGACATCAAAGGGGAACTCCTTTAAGAAAAATAACTAACTGGTCTTTGTTTATTGAAACATTATGATTTGAACTCTGACTCTTTTTTTCTTTCTGTCTGAGAGCAACTCAAAATTATCTAAAACATCAGATTCCTCTCCACAGTCTGGGCTGTTGAGCATTTTAGCTTAGCTCTGTTTTCATGCAGACATTCCCCTTTGACATCACTTCCTGTTACTTCACAGGCAAATATCTCAACAACTGTTCATCTCAGCAGCATGAAAATTATTTTGTAATATGTTCTCAGTGTCATCTTTTCAAAAATGCATTTGTATTATTAAAAAAATGTTGATGTCACAGGCACTTTAAGTTAATGCGGCACTGTATTCTGGGGATGAAAATCCCATTTTAACTAAGAGCAACTTTTGGGACAGGTTGCCAAAGGTACATGTAAAATCTGCCTTTCCAAATTTCCTGCCTTTCCATATCCCCCGGGATTTCCACCTATGCTGTTTGTTCTACGTTTTTTGTTTCCCCTATGCAGCTGACGGGCTGTTGACCAGAGAAGAGCAGATCATTCTGGGTGTTTTGCTGTCATTCTTCTTGGTTTTGTTATTCATCATCATCATCTGCTGCTCAGTCAAGTAAGAATAAGTGCACCATCAGGACTGTCAAAATATTCTAAACGTGCCCTGCTCCGGCTTCACGTGACCGTTCCTGTTTATTGACTCTTCAAAGGATTCATCAGCGCAAGAAAGAAGGTGGAACCTACTCTCCCAGAGAGGCAGAGATCATAGAGACAAAGTGTAAACTGGATCAGCTGATCGCTGTGGCCGACATGGAGCTGAAACAAGAAAAACTCAATCGGTAAGCCTTTAGTTTGAGGAACCTAAAAGCAAAACGTCACCCCCTTTTTTTGGTGTTTAGAGCACACTACACGGCTTCAGACTCGACTCAGCTGCTCGAGACAATATTCTAAATCCGTGTCAACAAGGCAGAAAATAAAAAAGGCAACCTCTTTGCTGCAACCAACTTGATGTGTGCTCCTGTCAGCACAGAGTCATCTAACGGTGTAGAGTGTGCAGAAAATAGAAGCAGAGACACAAAGCAGAACTGTGGCTTTGTAATTCATCTTCAGTTCTCTGCAGAACACAAAAGTCATTCTGTCTGCCGTATTTTTTACATACCTACCCCCAAACACTCAGTGACAAGAACTAGCATCTGGCTTTTCAAGCGCACTGTTACTTTTGTCAAACTGACACGAGAAGGAAACAAAGCACCAAAATTGGATTTCTGCGAACTAAAAAGCTTGTTAAACATTTAAAAAAGCATGAATAAAATGTTTTTTGTAATTAAAGGGTTTTAAACTAGTATTTTTCTACAAAAAAGGCTAAAAATTTAAAGTAGATCTTATGTTTGATATTGTTGTCCTCTTCAGCAATTCAAAAAGTTCAGTTGTTTCTTTTACCCAAATTATTCTTTAAAGGGGAGTATTAAGTATTTTCCAGGCACATAGTTTAACTCTGTACTACAATCAAGTATTATCTTCAGTTGCCATGAAAATACGGTATACATCAAAAAATATTTGACTTCACATCTTCTAAACACCTTGAACTTGGCCTCTGTCTCTTTAAAAATCTCCTACCGTTTCTGACACTCCCACTTCAGCAAGTCTTCACAACAATGCCTCAGGGGAGGGGTGCTCTGTGCAGAAACTCATCTCAGCTCCAGGGAGGAGCTTTGTACAAATAGGCGGAGCTTTGTTCCAGCAAGCATTTAGGCAGCTCCACATGGTCACAGGAGATTCCAGGATTTCTTAAACTTTCATGAACGAGTCAAAGCAACACTCTGGGTATGTTTTATATGAGGGAATGACATTAATGACATGATAGTCGATTTTGCACAATACCCCCCCCCCCACACACACACACACACACACACACACACACACACACACCCCCCCACACACACACACACACACAAAAAAAAAAAACAGAGGATCCTTGAGGACCACAACCCTGCATGTTTTACTTGTTTCCCTGCTCCAACACACCCGGTTCTGATTACCTCTTCAAGTTCCACAGAAGCCCATCAATCACCCATTCATTTAAATCAGGCAAAGCTCAATACCATGCAGGATAGTGGGCCCTCAAGAACCAGGACTGAAAATCCCTATTTTAGAGGATTTTATTGTATTTTTAATGCAGAGATTTTCCACTGAAGCTCTGCACAATTTATTAATCTAAGATAGTCTAAGAATAGAGTTTATTGTATTTATTTATTTATTAATTCTTCAAGCGTTTTTGATCATTTGGCCAAAAGCATCTGTTTCTTTTTCATTTTGCAGATTGAACCTTTTCCATGACAATCATTATGTTTCTTAGTATAATGCAGCACCACTGCATCAGCTGAATTTAACGTGATAAAATGTAGGGCTTAATTCACCTCTAATATGTTTTAACAAGCATCTGCATGCAAGATAACACTTTACCCCAAAATTAAAAGATATCATCTCAGAAACCTCACCAATTCTACACACACGTATGCATATATATATTTTTTATTTTTAGTTGTCTGCACTGCTGCTGTGAGGGTTGCATATTGAAACAGGTTTAATGAGTCATTATTAAAAAACTGTGATTTCCCTTTAATTATATTCAACAACCCACAGTCTGACAATCAGATTATGGTTCAAAAGAGCTCAACTCTCTCTGTTCTTCTGCCTCGTTTTAGAACAGTAGAAAGCAAAAATAAAGCTTTAACATTGCTTAGAATAAAATCAATATGTTTTGAAAATCAGTTACTGTACATTTTTTCCCTAAATGGTCAAAATAACAGAAAGTGGCAACATGGAAACATGAGTTATCCACTTTAGATTTTCCCTTTTGAGTCTTTAGTGTGTTTTTTTACATTATTTTTGTGCTTCTTTTAGCTTTAACAACTCATTGAAGTTATTTAGCGTTCACACTGCACTTTTACAGAAAATGCTGTTTCTCTTGTTTCATTTGGGGCCTTATTTCCTATCCTTTCTATGAAGTGATCAGAATCTCTTCTTCATTTGACAACACAATGAAATCTGTAAGAATCTGACTTTTCATGATAAATAGCACCATTTTTTTTCCTGTCACTTTGTCAGCTTCTCGCTCTGGCTTTGTGCTTCTCTCACTGAGCACTTTCCTCCACCAGGTATTCTTCCTTCTTCTTTAGACGGAAAGAGATTTATGTCATTCAGTAAGTTGGACGTAGAGTTTCTGTGTGGCACTTGGTGTGTGTGTGTGTGTTTGCATGTCTGAGTGTGCTATTAAGGCCTGAGTCAAACCCTCCATCTGTGCTGTTGATAAAAGCTTAAGTGGAGGCTGACGGTTAAACGAATCGGTGACATCAGTGTTTTACCCACATTCTGCTCGTCTTCCTCCATCAACGACACAGCTTTGCTGACGCTCTGAAAGGCAGTGGACAGACATGTTAAGCTGCATCAATTGTTAAGAATCTGTGTAGCTTTAAATCACATCTCTCCAAAAGAGGAGCACACTTCTGATGCTATTTAAATTCACATTTTCCTTTTAGAATAAAAAAAAGGCTTGAAATATGGATTTAATTGCAAAATAATTTAACCCACTTCGCTGAATTTCTGCTGTGAGGATTAGTTCAATTTTCCATAGACACAAATGCCAATGTGTGGGCTGCAATTATTGCATTAATTTGTTTATTTTTGGCCCTGTTTTCATTCAGGCTGCTCAGCTACAGGAAGTCGCTCAAGTAAGTGACACTTTACACATTTTGCGGGAATGCAGGCAGCAGCTTTGTTCTCCCCGACACCTAAAATAAGTTTACGATCTGAAAACGTTCTTACCTCTACCATCTTTAACGCTCTGCATTTTTTTTTCTGCTGCCCTCTCCGTCAGGCCCGTCAACAAGAAATCTTTTCTGCAGCACGTAGAAGATCTGTGTGCCAACGACAATGCCAAGTTCCAGGAGGAGTTTGCGGTACCTAAAATCAAATCAAATTAAATTCTGATTATCGCCTGCTGCTAGAGGAGAATATGTTTGCCCATGCGTGTGTGTGTTTGTGTTTCTGTTACCAAAATAATTTGTGAACCACTGGGTAAATTTGAACTGAACTTTTAGAAAGTAATCACTAGAGATATGAATTCCTTCAGGGAACACTAGGATTTTATATATAAAATGGGTTAAAAGTTAAAATAATGAAGTTATTTCTGTATGGGATTTTTCAGGACTGTAAAAAAAGTAGTTTTGTTTGTTTTTTTCCCTCCAGGAGCTGCCAAAGCTGCTGCCAGACCTGGCCACCTCAGATGCAGACCTGCCCTGGAACAAATCCAAGAATCGCTTCCTCAACATCAAACCCTGTGTGTGGTCAAGCTAAAAGGGATTATTTTAATGCAAAAGTGTGCACAATACATCACAGCGTTTTCTTTATTCCTCTGCTGCTCTTTTCTCYTTTTTTTTTTTTTTTTTTTTTSC